CCCTCAGAGCAGGGTAGTCTGGATTCTACCCAAATCAGACACTTGTCTGACACTAAAACTCAACCCCAAGTGCTGCATCCATCACATTTCCCTCAGAAATAGAGTAAAACACAGCACGAAAAACTGGAGCTTTCTCTCCATTCAAACAAACAGACAAGCTGTGGTTTCTTTCCTTTATTTTGAAATCTTTTCCAACAGGTACAAATTCCATCTCAACCTGGAGTCACCCAACATCTAAAAGCCTTTCCAAGGTGATAATTTCCTGCAGGAATCTCCTCTCACATCTGGGGTGTTTTGTCTCCCCAAGCACCCCAAGTACCTTCCCTTGCTTCCCTTTTAGTGACAGTTTGTTTCTCACCAGCCCTAAGAAAACAGGGAAGGTCCTGCTGGCACTGCCTCCAGATGCTCCCTGGAGCAGCAGGAATTGGCCACAGTCCAGCCTGCAAGGATTTCATCTGGAGCGAATGGGCTTGTAAAAAATTACCAGCATTTGGTGCAGATTCTCCAGTTTCCATCCCTCTCTCCTTTAGTAGCCAGGCCTGGGGCTACTACTCCTCCTGCCTCAGTTGGAGGAGCTTTGAAGCCCTTGAAGAACAATTTGGGTTGTGATCCCTGTGCTCTTTCCTCGCTCTCTGCCCAGCTCAGCCTGGTTTAGGGTTTCGGTGGCTGCCCCAGGACACAGGGTGACTGTCCAAGCCCTTGGCACTGCCAGCAGGGACATCCCAGAGCAAAATCATCCCTCTAATCTCTGGGGAAAACAGTAAACCTGGAGTTGTTCTACAGACTCTGTGCCTTAGCCCTGCCTTAGCCACCTGTCTGAGCAGGGATTTATTTCTCTGCTATTCCATCCCTAAAATTAAACTCATCTTTGCGGTAACATCAGGCCTTTGGGGCGAGGTGGTCTGAGCCCCACCAGCAGCTGGAACGTCCCTCCTGGATCCACAGGGGCTCTGGCATCCCACACTGACCTGTTTGCTCCTCAATATCCACACTAAGGACCAGGGAATGTGCTTATCTACATTTAGAGGGGCAGCAACCCCACAGCTGGTCTCTGGCTTAAGTGCTTTAAGCTCCCACCCGGTTCCAACCCCAGCCCTGCCCGTGTTTCACCACCTCATCCCCACACAGGCTCCAGCACTCCCCCCCAGCCTTTCCTGAGCTCTCACTCTTCCCTTTTAAGGAGTAGGGCCACACATTCAGCTTTTTGAAGTTCATTTTCACTTCTCACCTGTTTAAGGAGCATTTCTGAGGAGCAGGGAAATGTGAAGCTCCGAGCACAGGAGCAGTTAAGGCTCCATGCACAGTTTTATAGCTTGGTGCTGCCATGGGCCCATTCAAATATATTTTGACATACAACATGTTATTCTCTCCAAGGCAGTTGGTCTCTTTATTTATTCAGTTAGAGTGAAGGATTCATTCCCCCGTTGACTAACAGGAGACCAAGGATTCCCACACGCAGCTGAGCCCCTGCACTTCATTCTCTGCTGCTGAAATTGTTTTCATCCATTCTGGAGCTATTGCACTTCATTCCTCACCAATATATTTTTATTTGTATATAAAATAAAAATGTGACAGCACATGGAAAGTTAAGAAGTGGATAAATTCATAAATTACTTTTATACAGCAGAGCAGATATGACTGAAGTGCTCTGGCCTTAACCAGAGCACAGCCAAGCAGAGGGGAAAGTTGAGCTTTAGGAGCACACAGTTCTCCTCCAGAAGGGGTGCACAAAGCACACTGAGTTTTCTCCTTCCTAACAATCCTTTCCTACCTCCAGGCACCACACACTATTAGGCAGGAATGTCTTTAGAACACCAGTTTTGCCCTTGGATTCCTGCTGGGCCTGGGGGACCTCCCCCCCCAGCTCATGGCTCCTCAACCCTCCTGTGCATCCACGTCCCGCTGGCAGAGGAGGGAATCACTTGGAGATGTTTCTGCACGGCTGGAGATGTTGCTGTGGGACTGGAACCTTTGCAAGTCATGGTGGGAATGGTGGGAATGGTGGGAATGGTGGGAATGGTGGGAATGGTGGGAATGGAGACCTTTCATGTGCTGGCACTCGAGCTCTGTGCACAGGCAGGGGAAGGGACAGGGAAGAGAGGGCTGGAGCTCAGAAAAGGTCTTCACTGCAGGTGGCAAGAGCTGCTTCTCCTCATGGGAGAAACATGGACAAACCTTTCCTGGAGGAATCCATTTGCACCTTGCCAAGACTCTGCTATCAGTGCCTGCAGAAATGGAAACAGTCATGGAATAGTTTGAATTGGAAGGGAACTTTAAAAGTCATCCAGTGCAATCCCTCTGCCATAGGCAGGGACACCTTCCACCAGCCCAGGTTGCTCCAAGCCCCGTCCAACCTGGCCTTGGACACTCCCAGGGATCCAGGGGCAGCCACAGCTTCTCTGGGCAACCTGTGCCAGGGCCTCTCCACCCTCCCAGGGAAGAATTCCCACCTATCCCTGCCCTCTGGCGGTGGGAAGCCATTCCCTGTGCCCTGTCCCTCCACCCCTTGTCCCAAGTCCCTCTCCAGCTCTCCTGAAGCCCCTTTAGGCCCTGCAAGGGGCTCTCAGGTCTCCCTGGAGCCTTCTCTTCTCCAGGTGGAACAATCCCAATAGTAAGGGAGGGATGCAAGAACCTCAGCATTGAAAACCATCTGTTTTTTCCATTAAGTTAAAAACTATTAAAAAAGTTGTCATTAAATATTTGTATTACATTATTTGCAGTCATTTGCTGTACCCCATGATTAATAATTCCAGCAAAGTTCTTCCAAAGTCACTTATTTGCTATATATGAATTTTTTGGAACAATTACCTTGAAGGGTCTTGGTCCTCAGCTCATATCTGAGGGACCCTGGGACAGGAGGATTTGGGGGTTTTGTTCATGTGCATCCACAGCTTAAGGACAGTAAGGGATGTGTTGGCCATAAATGAAGAGGTTTATACAAAGAGACCAGGATGAGAGCAGGATGAGAGCAGGAATGACAGTTCTCTGTGGAGACCAGGGACAGGACCCAGGCAATGGACTGGAGCTGTGTCAGGGCAGGCTTATGGTGGATCTCAGGAAAAGCTTCTTCCCCCAGAAGGTGGCTGGGACTGAGCAGGGTTATGAATCCTAATTAATCCAGGCTGTCATTAACCAGAGGCTGCAACACAGGTGGCTGCTCCTCTTAGGGGTGCACTGGGAATCGGGCTGTGGGTTGGGCTGATGCATCCCCAGACTGGGAGCAGAGCCTGCTCTGGGTGAGTCCCACCTGCCTTGAGCTCCCCGGGCATTAACTGGCCCTGATGGTCGTGTCCAACAGGCTTCAGCAAGAGCAGATCCCTGTCTGCCAGCCCTGGGACAAGGAGTCCCTCAGCAAGGCTTTGGTTGCTGTGAAACCCTCGGCTCTGGAGCACTGAGAGTCATAGAAACATGGAATCACAGAATCATAGAATCTCCTGGGCTGGAAGGACCCCCAAGGATCATCCAGTCCAACTCCTGGCCCTGCACAGACACCCCAACAATCCCACCATGAGCCTGAGAGCTCTGTCCCAATGTAAAGGCCTCTCCTGAAATCCTTAAGTCTTTTTTCTGGCATCACAGTGAATGTCCAAAGTGTGGAGAGCCTTCCTGGCTGCCAGGGCAGTGAAGGTGGGGAAGGGCCTTGACTGGAAGCCGTGTGAGGACACTGAGGGCACTTGGTGTGTTCAGCTGGAGCAGAGGAGGCTGAGGGGAGAGCTCAGTGCAGTTCCAACTGCCTGGGCAGGGGCAGAGGAGGGGCAGGGACTGAGCTCTGCTCTGGGGGGACCATGCCTTCATGTGCTCTCCTCCACCTCCTAAGAGGTCTGTGAACAGGATGGATGTCAGTGTGAACTGTCAGGAGATGAGCAAGGTGGATAATTCCTGTCACACAGGATATGCTGAGCTGGAAGGGACCCACAAGGATCATCCAGTCCAACCCCTGGCCCTGCACAGGCCCAGCCCCAAGAGTCACCCCCTGTGCCCCAGAGCATCATCCAAACCCTCCTGGAGCTCTGGCAGCCTTGGGGCTGTGCCCACTGCCCTGGGGAGCCTGGGCAGTGCCCAACCAGCCTCTGGGGGAAGAACCTTTGCCTGAGATCCAACCTGAGCCTGCCCTGACACAGCTCCAGCCATTCCCTGGCTGCTGTCCCTGGTCCCCCAGAGCAGAGCTCAGTCCCTGCCCCTCCTCTGCCCCTGCCCAGGCAGTTGGAACTGCACTGAGCTCTCCCCTCAGTCTCCTCTGCTCCAGCTGAACACACCAAGTGCTCTCAAAGATGCTGAGAAGGAGGCAGCCAGGAGGAAAGGATGCAAGGCTGGTTTGGGTTTGTTGGGGTTTTTTTAGCTGTCTCACTTTGTTTGGTTTTGTTTGAGGTGGTTTTTTCCCCTTTTATTTGCCTTTAGAATTCCCAGATCAGTTCTGAAGTGTTTGTCAAACCCTTTGATGTCCTCCATGAAAGGCACAGAGCAATGCAAATGATCTCATTAGCATTATTATTATTATTTTTTGCATTATCCCCCTGGCCTGGGGCCGTTCCTGCGGAGCCGGTTCCACCCAACTGTTCTGAGCCCTGGGCACAGCTGGGCACAGGGGACAGGGCTCTGCAGGACTGACAGCCTTGGAGAACAGCTCAGGCAGGACAGACACTGAAGCCAATCTGGAGCAGAGCCTGGATTTCTCCCTCCCTCCCTCCCTCCCTCCCCCACATCAGCAGCTCAGTCAAAAATATGCATTTTCGAGCTTTATCTTTTCCCAGCAGCGAAGACAACGAGGGAGAGGAGCTTCCTCCAGCAGCACAGCCAGAGGCTGCTGGAAAAGAAGGATTTATTTTTGGATTGCTGTTTAGGAGGTGAAGGTCAGGAGAGCCTGACCTTTTGTAAGGGCTGGCTGAGGTTCCCCCCAGCAAACTGTAGAAACACCTCCTGGCACTTGCTCGAGCCGTGGGAGTGCCCCCCCATCGTCCTTGGACTGGGAGTGCAAACGGACAAGAAAAATATTCACTCTGTACAAGGAACACAACAAATAGCATCTATTTCCAACGTTTTCATGACATGCTCCCCAAGTCCTGGGAGCCCTCTGGCTGCAAGTCAAATGCTAAACTCTGGCTGCTCCTCCAGGCTCGTGGCAGAGGTGTCAGGACCTCGGATCGATGGCTCCTGCGTCTCGGGACATCGGGAGCAGAGCGAAACCAGCCCAGCCCAGGAGTGCTGGAGGCCAGACACAACCACACAGTGTCTGCAGAGTTTGTCAGTGCTTTTTTCAGCACACAAATGCTCCAGTGGTTGAGGAGAAATTAAGTTTTTCTTCAGCGTTTTGCAGCATTCCTGAGAAAACACAACTTTTCAGAAAAAAGGAGAGAGGAGAGTTTGCAGTTGAATCTATTTGGTTTCCAAGTTTCTAGATGTTTTTACAAAACAGACCCCATTTTCCACCAGAAAACCATAACAAAAGGAATTTATAAGTGATTAGAATCCAGACTTGCTATGGACAAACTGTGCTTTCCCAAGCAGAGCTGTCACAGGAGGAGGAACTGCAGCTCTCCTGCTTGTATGGTCCTCACAATCAAATCTCTTATTTCCACTTGGGAACATCTCCCACAGCCAGGAAAGGGAGCAGGGCCTTTCCTTGGCCCATTATTCAGAACTGGGCAGGAGAGAAGGCAATGCCAACCTTCTACTGTATTTTACTCCAACGAGAAGTGGGGGAAACCACCTCCTTTTCAGATTTTAGGGGCTGTTTAGACAGCAAGTAAGTACATTTTGGTTCTCAGCCAAAGTATTTGAGTTTCCTGTCATTCATGTTTTCATCACAAAAGTATTTTCTTTTTTTTTCCTCTTGAAAAGCTGAGTATTTTCAGGAGAAATTATATTGTGCTGAAAACCCTTCAAAGGAATATTTTGATATGAAAATTACAGCCTGGAACTTGTTGACATTCAGAAAATCTCCAGGTTCCAGCAGCAGGACAGGGCTCACAGGCAAATACTGCTGTGAGTGGAGCACGATGGCACTGCCAAAATATTGCCATGGGGGGTTTGTCAGGGGGAAATGGGAACCACCCAGGGCTCCTGGGCTGAGGGGCACAGGTTTGCTTGGGTTCCTCATTTTAATTTCATCCACACCAGGGATCCCGGGAGAAAAAAGCTTTGGATTAGACAGGTGTCCTCTAATGCCTCTCCTGAGGCTGGATATGTTCCAACATCAGAGATGCCCCATCCCTGGAAGTGTTCAGGGCCAGGTTGGAGCAACTTGGTGGAAGGTGTCCCTGCCCATGGCAGGGGGTGGCACAAGATGAGCTGCAAGGTCCCTTCCAACCCAAAGCATTCCATGATTCAGTGCCAATGTGGGTGATTCCCAGCCCTCAACCCTCCAGCACATTGGAAGAGAGGAAGCAGGGCCCAGCTTCTGAATCCCAAATTGCAATTACCCTGCTGGGGTCACACCTGTCCCTGCCAAAGATCTGGTTGGGTTTGGAGGCAGATGTCCAAGGGACCTCTGTTCATAAGGCTCCCATCCTCTGTAAGGTGGGAAAATGGGAGAGGTTCTGAACTCTGATTCAGTGCTGTCCAGGCTGGCTCCATTCCCTGTGTCCGTGAGGACCTGCATTTACCAGGCCTTCTGGAACATGGACAACCCAGGGGTCCCTGTCAACTCATCTTCCAACAGGTCCAAACAGGGCTAAAACAAACAGAAGTGAAGCCAAATCAAACAAAATGACTGGGATGCCTCTGTTCTGCTCCCCTTTCCGTCCTTCCAGGAAAGAGAGACAGGGAGGAAGCATTTGGGTCCAGGTGGGCCTGTTGTTTGAAGCCCCACTCTGTGCTTCCCCATTTTCCAGTTCAGGTTATTCCTGCATAGGAATATTTGAAAGCTGCCTTTTTTTAATGACTCTCACCACAGGGGTCACTGGGATCATCCATTAAGGATTGTGCTTTTTTTCCTCCCAAGCACTTTTTCTAACAGTTTGTGTTATATCGCAGAATCCCAGGATGGCTCAGGTTGGAAGGCCCCACAGTGTCCCACCTGGTCCCACCTCCCTGCCCAGCAGGGCCATCCCAGAGCGCATGGCACAGGATTGTGTCCAGAGGGGTCTGGAATATCCCCAGGGAGGAGACTCCAGCCCCTCCCTGGGCAGCCTGGTCAGGGCTGGGTCACTGCCCAGCAAAGAAGTTCTTCCTCCCGTCCAGGGGGAACTTCCTGGGCATCAGTTCCTGCCCGTTCCTCCTGGGCCATTGCTGGGCCCCCCCAGCAGAGCCTGGTCCAGCCTCTGCCCCCTCCCTGCAGCCCCTGACACAGCCTGGGGAGGGCCCCTCTCAGGCTCTGCTCTGGAGGCTGAACAGCCCCAGCTCCCTCAGCCTTTGCTGCTCCCAGAGCTGCTCCATCCCTTGGGCATCTCCGCAGCCTGCGCTGGCCCCGCTGCAGGAGCTCCCTGGCCCTGCTGTGCTGAGGAGCCCGAGCTGGGCCCAGCCCTGCAGATGTGCCTGCCCAGGGCTGGGCAGAGGGGCAGGATCCGAATGCTGAACAAAAGGCAGCCGTGCCATTTCCAGCGGGGGCTGTTCTGTTTTGCAGCAGGGATACATTTGCACGTCCACGGCAGCTCTGGCTCCTGTGAGCGCTGCTGACAGTGCCAGAACAGGGCAGAGCTGCTTTGCTGCACAGTTATGGATCTGGCAGGCAAAGGAGGAGAGTGGGAATAAGTTACAAAGGGCAAAAAGTGCTGTTTGTAACACTGTGCTCTAAATCCTGAGCAGGGAAGGAAAAGGGCTTGCACAGAAGAGGAATGTGCCTGATTTAAACCCTGCAAAGACCCCAGGAATCCATCCTGGAGAGGCAGGAGACTGTCAACAAGACAAGATCATAACCCTAGAGCGAAAGAAAGAGCCCATTAGTTGTCTCTGAAAGTGGTGAGGCCAGAGCTGACCCAAGGGGGTCCTGGGCACTCAATAGGACTTTGGTGGCCTTTCCTGCAGCCCTGTACCCCCACCTGGCCCACGAGGACTCAGGCATTTTTCTCAGTTTATCCTCCAGAGTTCCTGCACACATGGCTGAGTGGCAAAGGTCAGTCATAAATATTAGAGATGAGGAAATAAAAAGATCTATAAGTGAGATTAGGAAGCAGGATTCCTGAGGGGCACAGGGTTTGCAAGAGATGTTTACAACATTCCTGCAGCACAGCAGCCTCTGCCCCATGCAGGGAGGTGTCAAACTGTGTCTGTGGGTTCGGGGGAGCTTCAGGGCTCTCCCTGTGTGGGGCTGTGGCCAGACCAGCAGGGTCTGGGGGAATTCTGCTTTGGAATCCCACAGGAGCACAGGGCTGATAGACTTCCAAGATGCATTCATGTGACCATCCCCCACCAGCCACTGCAAAGGGGGATATGGGGCATGGAGAGATCAAGGAGATGTGTCCTACTCCAAAGAGACCCACAGAATTCCAGAATCACAAAACATGCTGAGTTGGAAGAGACCCACAAGGATCATCCAATCGAACCCTCAGCCCTGCACAGGCCCATCCCCAAGAGTCACCCCCTGTGCCCCAGAGCATCATCCAAACCCTCCTGCAGCTCTGGCAGCCTTGGGGCTGTGCCCACTGCCCTGGGGAGCCTGGGCAGTGCCCAACCAGCCTCTGGGGGAAGAACCTTTCCCTGAGATCCAACCTGAACCTGCCCTGACACAGCTCCAGCCATTCCCTGGCTGCTGTCCCTGGTCCCCCCAGAGCAGAGCTCAGTCCCTGCCCCTCCTCTGCCCCTGCCCAGGCAGTTGGAACTGCACTGAGGTCTCCCCTCAGTCTCCTCTGCTCCAGCTGAACACACCAAGTGCCCTCAGTGTCCTCACACGGCTTCCAGTCAAGGCCCTTCCCCACCTTCACTGCCCTGGCAGCCAGGAAGGCTCTCCACACTTTGGACATTCACTGTGATGCCAGAAAAAAGACTTAAGGATTTCAGGACAGGACTTTACATTGGGACAGAGCTCTCAGGCTCATGGTGGGATTGTTGGGGTGTCTGTGCAGGGCCAGGAGTTGGACTGGATGATCCTTGGGGGTCCTTCCAGCCCAGGAGATTCTATGATTCTGTGATTCCATGTTTCTATGACTCTCAGTGCTCCAGAGCCGAGGGTTTCACAGCAACCAAAGCCTTGCTGAGGGACTCCTTGTCCCAGGGCTGGCAGACAGGGATCTGCTCTTGCTGAAGCCTGTTGGACACGACCATCAGGGCCAGTTAATGCCCAGGGAGCTCAAGGCAGGTGGGACTCACCCAGAGCAGGCTCTGCTCCCAGTCTGGGGATGCATCAGCCCAACCCACAGCCCGATTCCCAGTGCACCCCTAAGAGGAGCAGCCACCTGTGTTGCAGCCTCTGGTTAATGACAGCCTGGATTAATTAGGAATCATGAAAAGCTGATGGCTCTGCAAGGGCTCTGAACTTCTGCTTAATGTTTTGCTCCTGTAATTTAAGCACAGGAGCCCTGAGCAAATCACCATCTTTAATGACCACATCATCATCATCATCATCATGAATTCATTAGGAGGGGATGGGACCAGAGGGATCTCAGACATGAATAACAAAGGCATGAACAAGATGTGCTGGTGATTAGCCTAGGCTGGTGGTGCCCACCACCCCCTGGGCACCCCCAGGGTGTTCAGCACAGCACTGGAGGGTCCTTGTCTGCACATGGACATGTCCTATCCCAGCCTGTCCTTGGGGACATGTTTGCCTTGCTGGGTGACAGGTGAGAAAGCAGAAATCCAGACTGAAACACAGGCCAAGACACAGCCCTAAAACTGAATGGTGCCCTTGGAATTAATAGATGTAATGGTCCCATCAAAGTGCCATTATTTAATAGTCTGGGATTGATTGCTCCTGTTTCCTATTATCCATCCCCTACCCTGCCAGGAAAGAAGCAGTCAATGACTTTTAAACCCACAGCAAATGCCACTTTTTGTCCTCTTTGCCAGGAGTGCTACAGGGACAGCAAGAGTGGCTCTGGACTGCAGTGGTGTGACAAGTGCCCTTAATCTCTCCCGTCAGAGTCTCGAAGGTGGGGATGAGCTCCAAAGATAACCACATACATGACAGTCTGTCTGGAAGCACAAGCTGCTCCAGTCCAGCCCATGACAGAGTACAAGTGAGAGGGCCAATAAATAATTGACCATGGTGGTGATTAACAGGAGTGTCACAGAGCCCAGAAACCTCGGGCAGGGCTGGGCTGAGGTCTCTGCAGGGATGAAAAAGCTCCACATCTCCGATAAGCTCAGAAGCTCCTGAAACCAGGGGAGAATCAGCAGGGCTGGGGAGTCCTCATATGCCCCACAGATCTCATACTTGCCCTGCCATCACCTGCAGGTGGAAATGATGCCTTAGTTTAACTTTATTTTTAGGCTCAACTCAAGCCTGTGGAGAATCCTTGTGGTTTATTGTAAAATTAACTGCAGGCTGTGCCTCAAAATCATGGAATCACAGAACATGCTGAGCTGGAAGGGACCCACAAGGATCATCCAGTCCAACCCCTGGCCCTGCACAGACACCCCAACAATCCCACCCTGGCCCTGAGAGCGTTGTCCAAACCCTCCTGGAGCTTTGGCAGCCTTGGGGCTGTGCCCACTGCCCTGGGGAGCCTGGGCAGTGCCCAACCAGCCTCTGGGGGAAGAACCTTTGCCTGAGATCCAACCTGAGCCTGCCCTGACACAGCTCCAGCCATTCCCTGGCTGCTGTCCCTGGTCCCCCAGAGCAGAGGTTGGAGCTGCCCCTCCAATCCCAATCCCTGGGAGGCATTTCCCCTGGGACTGGCATCACTCCAGCTGTGCTGTTAAACTCTGCTCACAGCAGCACATCCCTCACTGCAGGTCAGGCTTTATATGGACCAAGTGAAGGCCCCTGATCACGTTCATTCTCGGGGTGGGCACAAAACCAGGCCTAAATGGGCTGATCCTGCCCAAGGCAGTGCTGGAGGAATGTGCTGTGTCAGCAGCAGGGAGCTCGGGACCACGTGGAAAGGGGGGTTGATCTTTATATCCCGTGGGAGATGGGCACAGCCACATTCCCACTTTGGAGCTGAGAGATGGATAAAGCAGTGATGGAGATGAGATCTCCAGAAAGAAGTGAGCATGGATGAAGCCACAGCTTCCACCTGAACCATGTCTCCTTCTCCTCGGGTGCACCTGGGATTTTACAAGGCACAAGCAGTGAGGGAGACGAAGACTAACGAGGAAAATTTCTATAATGAAATAAACCCTGAGAAAAAGACAAAAGATACTTTTTCCTGGCCCACTGCTGCTCCAAGGAAGTGAAGAAGTCTGGAGTGATGACGCCCCAGGCAAAGGAATTTCTCCTGTTGTTGTTTCAGCCTTCACTGGGAGCTGATGACAACATGACAACGACACAGTTAACAAACAGCTCCGGTGACAAAGGGGCCAGAATTTATTCTGCAACAGAGGGAGGATGGGGGGGAGAGCACTTAGGTCCATTAGAGGATCTCAAATTGCCTGGGCCTGCCAGCAGTCTCTGTGTGGTGCTTAGAGGAGCTCCATCAATCTCAGAGCAGTTGGCCTTTATCTTTGGATGTGTGTGGAGAATGGGTAAAATTTTGGAGGTCTGGAAAAAAGAAAGGCAAAGCCCATCTTTTAAAAAAAAAGAAGGATGAAATGGGGATCTATTGCCCAGCCAGCTGCCTGAAATACCTGGGAAAAGAATGGGGACATATTATCAGGCAAACTGCTCGTGAGCACCTGGGAGATAACGAGCTGGGGAATTACAGCCAGGTTTGATTTGTCAGGAACAAATCACATCAAATCAATTTAATATCCTTTCGTGGCAGCAAAACAGGCCTTATGCTCAGGTGAGCAGTGATGGATGTCACGTATCATGATTTCAGTAAGAGGAAAAATCAGCTGCCCCAGGGCAGGGAATGCCCAGCACTGCAGGAAGGCATCCCAGGGGCAGGGGGGTCAGGAGCACAGCAGAGGGTCCACAGTGGGCTGGGGAAGGACAGACACTGTTCTGGAGGTGGGACTGGTGCCTGCTCCACTCAACACATCCAAGATTTGCCTGGACACCTGAGTCTGGATTTGTCTGTCTTCGTGCAAGCAGGAGGTGGAGGAGTTTGGAGGTGCAGAGTGGGAGAGATCATCGGTCTAGAAAACATGATCTTTGAAGGAAATGAGAAGTGTCATCACTGAAAGCAGGGAGGTGATGAAGGGAGACGTGATGCCACTTGTAATGGGACTAAAGGCAGCTGCAGAGGGGGGAAAGTACCTTGTCATTTAAGTTTAGTAAAAGAGAGAAAGGGGTGGAATTGTGGCAATAGAGAATTATGAATAGATAATTAGGGAAAATTTCACTGATGAAAGAGAGGTGAGGTATTTTTGAGATCCCCTGCACTGGATGTTTTGATGCAAAGGTCTGAGCTGACCACAATGGGATTGTCTTGGTTTGTGGCAGGGGATGAGGGAAATACCATCAGGCAGTTTACTCCAGCCCTGTGTGCTGTGACTCTGTGACACTGTTGCAGAAGGATCTGCCACAGATCCCAACTGAGCACAGGAAAACCTGATGGGCTCGTGTTTCTGACACACCACAGACTTGTCCTTGGGCTCTGGGAATCATTAGAAACCCGTGAATGCCCTTTTCTCCTGCCCCCCCCCCCCTCACCCAAGGCTTTTTCCCTTTCCATCTCTTGCTCAGAAACATTCCTTTGGCACTTGGTGTGTTGGCAGGTGCAGGGGTCTGGTACCAGCTCTGTGACCTGCCCCAGGCCCGTGCCCAAGTACCAGGGTTTCAGTTGGCATAACCTTGGTTTTTATCAATTTGCTCAGAGAATGAGAGATCAAATCCCCTCTGTTTGAAAGCTCCAATACCTGCAAATTTGCATAAAGAACTAAATCATCTTTGTTTATTTGCTGGATTCAGTAGAACTTCACCAGAGGATGAAGGTGACCCCTTGGGCTGTACAAACAGGGAATTGTTCATGGGAATTGCAGTGCCAGGTACAGCCCCAGGTGTGTGAGTCCTGCAGGTGACACTGGGCTGGCTCTGCTCTGTCCAGGAACTCCTGGGCATCTTCTCTCTTCAGAGAATCCCACAATGGGTTGGGTTGGAAGGGACCTCAAAGCCCATCCAGTCCCACCCCCTGCCATGGGCAGGGACACCTTCCACCAGCCCAGGTTGCTCCAAGCCCCGTCCAACCTGGCCTTGGACACTTCCAGGGATCCAGGGGCAACCACAGCTTCTCTGGACATCCACAACTTCTTTCTTCTTGCTGTCCATCCTTGTTGACACTTTTCTCATGGCCCAGAGTCCATGGGAGCAACCAAATGAAGTCAGTGGAGTTTTTTCTGCAGCACAGCCGTGAAAGAAGGACTTTTCTCTTGAAGCACCAACAGCAAACAAGATTAATAAGGACAAATGGTTCATTTGACAGGAGTGGGCTGTGAGAGCACGGAAATGGGTGAATCACCAGGCGTGACTTGCTGCCCTGTGACATCACTGTGATGCTGTTGGAGCTCTGAGGATGTCAGCAGAGGGATGTAGAATAATGCAGCACTGAACTCAGGTGTCCTTTGGAGGGGAAGGAAGGAGTGGGATGAATGTGCAATAAACAGCTCTTGGGCCAGTGCCACCCTGTGAAATTGTGAACAGCAAAGTGATCACTGGGGACACAAATCAAATCCTGCAGCTCAGGTGTCACCACAGACACTTCCTGGGAATGAATTGGTGTGGAATTGGCTTTGGCTTTCCATGAGTCACAGAAGTGACTCAGGGGCGTGTGAGGTCCCAGGGCTCCCACCAGAGCTGCCAATGCTAGGTCTGAGGGCACTCACTGCTCTGGGCCTTGGTGAGAGACACCCAGAGGGGGATGAGGGTGACATGAAATGGGGGTTTTGCTGTGCATGTTCATCAGGCTGTGGATACATTTCCTTAAAACACTGCATGTCTGGACTTGAAAAGATCTGGCACCTTGCAGGCTCAAACATGAGCCAGATCACTTCCTAAAAAGCTGCAGAAATGGAAGAGGAGATGATGTCTGTCCTACCCTGAGAGAGCAGGGCAGTGATGTGTCCAAGGCAGTCCCTCACCTCCCTCATTCCCTCACCTCCCTCACTCCCCCCCCAGTGCCCTGTGCACTGGGCTCTATGACTCTGCCTTCTCTCCCTGCTCTTCTTTTCTTTATTTTTTTCTTCTTTGCTCTTCTGTTTTCTTCTTCTTTCTTCTCTTATTCCTTGTTTCTGCTCCAGTGAAATGATCCAGTGCAGTCAGGCTGAGGAGCAGCAGGAGGGTAGAATCCAGAGCTCATTTTTTGAGGGAAGGTTCTGATTTGTTCTTTGCCCCTCTTGTAATTTACTCTGGTAGCTCAAAGGTTAATTGTGTACAACACAGAGCTTTGAGCTCCCTGATTGAAGGTGCTGTTGAAAGCTAAGTGTTGCTGTAGCCCTGATTTAGTCCTGCTTACCAGGGTGATAAATTATGGGGAGATATGAGACACGACTGTTGAAGTTTGCAGGCTGGTGAACTCGCTCTCCAGCAGAGCAAATGGGGTGTTCCCTGGTGCTGCACCTCCCACGCTGTGTCAGGGTTTCTCTGGGCTCTGCTCGTCAGCCTCTGAATTTGGGGCTGTGACTGAACATCTCATTTCTTTCGATTTGATCCCCAAATTTTAGTGGTGTCAGTGATAATAACTCTGTAATTCTTCAGAAATGAGGAGGTGATGAAATGCCTCCAGCATGGAGCTGTCTGCCTGGGTGGACACGGGCAGGGAATCATAGAAGGGGTTGGGTCGGAAGAGGAACTTGGAGACCATCTAGTTCCAACCTCCCTTCCATGAGCAGGGAATCTGCCAGCTTCCACCAGGACCACCTGGCTGAGGTTGGCAGATACCTCTGGAGGTCCCCTTGTCCTCAGGCAGGGCCACCTACACCAGTTGCCAAAGGTCACCACAGAGAGGAGAGAGATTCTTCACCGACACAGCCCCTCTGGGCTCAGGGACTCCCAAAGCAAGGCCCAGGACAGGACCAACAGAAGGGATTCAGCCAGGAAAGGTCCCTCTCCTGGTGGCACTTCATCCTGGGCAGGTGATGACCAGGGACAGCAGCCAGGGAATGGCTGGAGCTGTGTCAGGGCAGGCTCAGGTTGGATCTCAGGCAAAGCTTCTTCCCCAGAGGCTGGTTGGGCA